CACACACACACACACACACACACACACACACACACACACACACACACGCACGTTTTAAGATTCAAATTAAATTTAAACTTAGAAATCAAGAAAATTGAAAATAGTAGGTTGTAATGCACCAATCACTAGAATATGCAACGCGTACAACACCCTATGTAAAAAAAGTAGTGACATAGATATCTTTCACGATACGCCCTCCCACTTTCGTCGTAAAGTGACGAATTCATCACAATCAAATATGTAATTAAATTTGTTAAATGCCTGTAAAATTATTGAATTGCATTTATTATTATTATTATTATTAATATTAATGTTATAATATTTATTGTTTTAGTTTTATTAATTATATAGATTTAATTATTATTATTTTTTAATATATTTCAATTATAATGTAAAATTGCTTAAGTATTTATACCTTTTTTGTACCTATTTTTCGAAGAGCGGTGCCTCCTGACCCAGGCTTGATAAGCTTAATAGGAGGTGCCATCCACTGTTAACGCAAAGTTAATTGTATTACTGAAAGAAACATTTATTTATTTATACCAATGGATTTATAGTACTATATAATGTACGACAAATCGCGTAGTTGAACGTGTCGTTATGTGTTTTTTTCATCGAAAGTAAAAGTTAGGTTATATTCCTATATCTATGGATGCACCACAGTCCATCGTCAAGTTCGAATTCCAAAAACCTTTTCCACGCTAGCGAAAGAAAGAAAGCCTTTCCGAGCTAGTGAGGAGAAAAATTCATTATTTGCTTGTCGTGTTACGTATGCAGATCCGTGGGCGGAGACGGTGCGTGATCCAGGGCTATCGGTGCAGGTTTCGCCTGCTCGCGGTATTTTGGCAGGACATGCTCGCGCGGTCATCACCGTGCGCGCCTACGCTGACAGCTTTGGCATCTACAGAGATCAGATACTACTACAGGTACCACGCTATACGTATCTACCTTATTATTAGTGTTTGTAACATATTTTAAATAGAAAACTTCGTTGAGACTCCGACGTATTACTGAACTAACATATAAGTTAACGGGAAACTAGCGGTGCATAAGGATGCGGCGCACATTGACAATTCTACTAATGAAAAATTATTATTAGACATTTTTGCCTAAAACTACACTTTGACGGTTAAAAACTATTTTTCATTTTTTATGTATGGAACAAGGCAAAAGAGTGATTTTCTCAGCTGTGGTTTTTGCGCGGCGTAGTCGAAAGTCGTTGTATAAGTTGCCAAAAAAGATATGTAATGTTTTTATAGCCAAGTATACCTCCTAAATCTTCACCAAAGAAAAATTCCTAGGTCGGTGTTATAGTATAATATAATCTTTTTCGAACACAAAATTAAAAATCGTCACCAAAATAAGTAAAAAACCGTACATGTTGAAAATGCCTGAAAACATGACCTGTTTCGGTCAAATTTTTACAAGTCTTGATTTAAAACTACTTGAGCACTAATCTTTCGAATATTGATTAGGGTACATTTTTAACCGACTTCAAAAAAAGGATGTATGTTACGCGATTTTGATGACTCTTTTTTTGTTGGTAAGGGTAGTAGTAGTCCCATTTAAATTTGAAGAAAATATTCCACCGCTAAGGGTGGCAAACTAGGGGATGAATCGGTTTTCGCGCACTTTCCGGTAACCAATTTCAACAAAACTTGGCAAATGGATGCAATTCCACGAACTTTTGAGGTCGGTTTTTTTAGTACTCTATACTAAGATTTTCATGTATGCAACTTGTTAAGATTTGGTCGAAACAGATAATGTTTTGTCTTGACAAAACATTATCTGTTTCGACCAAATCTTAACTGGTCTTGATTTAAAGCTAGTTGAGCAGTAATTTTTCGTATACTGACTTGCCTACTTTTTTAGTTTCAATATTAAGTAATACATTACTTATATGATACTTTGTATAAAAAATCATCCACATTGGTGATATCCTTTTGAGTTCATAAGGGCGGTGAAATGGAGTCAGGCCTGCGTTCCAGGCGACGCGGTGGCGTCAGCGGCGACGACCAGATAAATCGTCCTTTATTGACACTAATAAAGTACGCTATCTCGATTCATGTAAAGGACCGGCTACATGATTGAGCTTGCCGTAGTTTTATTTGCGTAGGTGTTGCTGTTATGTAAGAAAAAAAGATTAAGTAGGACTTTTTACTTACGGTTTGTATGGTGTATCTTTTTTCCTTACGCATTTAAAATTTGCGCAGAATTGTTTTGTAACGGAGTTTGCGTCAATTTTTTTAGAAGCAGTAGAGCGCCTTGTGAATGGGTTCGTCCAGAGCAGTACTGCCACTTTACCTACTTCAGCCGCCAATCAGTAATACGAGCATTATTGCGTTCCGATTTGGAGGGTTTAGGGTTCTGGAATTACAGGTACTTGGGACTTGTCAAACTTATGTCTCAGGGCGCAGCGGCAGTGCCCCTCAGATTTATGCATTCTAAAAGAGCTTTACGAGCAATAACTTTAACAAAGTTTAAAAGAACGTAAGTAAAAAAAGATCTGTAGCGGGGTCAGCGGCGAGGGTAGATAGATTAAGAGAGACGACAGTGGATTTAGTACCAACAGAGCTCCTTGTGAAAGAGTTCGTCCAGGGAAGTACTGCTATCTTAGCTATTTCTGCCGCCAAACATTAATGGCAGCATTACTGTGTTCATGGTTTGAAGGATAAGGGGCTGGAGAAATTGCAGGCACATGGGAGTTGGTAATTTATGTCTCAGGGTGATGGGCAGCGACAGTGCCTCTCAGATCTTTGCAATATAAAGCTCTGAGTGGCACTGCAACTGTTATGGACAGGCGTGTAGCTCACCGTTAGGCGCACGACTTGTTTGTTTCACTTGATATTATTTGAAAAAAAATGGATAAGATATGTGTAAGTAATTTGAATAATATTACAATTGTGATATCACGCGACTGTGTAATATGATATCACATGGCACAGTACCGGTTTTTATTTATGCATATTTTTTATTTTAGTTACAATATAAAGGTTACATTAATCCTTTTTAGTAGTGAATAATTTATATTGCTATGTTTGCATAGTTTAAAAATTGAAATAGTTCCTTTGGCTGCGTAATATCTATCGGCTCTAGTTTAGGCTCCATTGTTAATTACGTTTTTCAGCGAATAAATATCTTCTATTCTAGGAAAGCAAGCACGGAGTGAGATGGGATAATGCTTATAACGCATTCCATTTTTACTCCGTGTGATGTTGTGGGTAATGTTATATCACACTAAAATATTACATTTACGGGAATGTAATGTGAGGTCACACTACTTTTCGATGCACTGTTTGCGCATGTTTACCATATAGTAGCAATTAGTAGCAAAAGTTACTATTATATGTATAGTTATTGTATTATTTTCGGAGTTTTCAGTTCAGCTCAACTCAAAAGTTTACAGTCAAGGCCATCAGCGGCCAATTGCAAAATATCCTTCTCAAAAATATACATTTGTGTACAAAAACTACAGAATGTATGGGTTTACTTATGCTATGGAAGTTATCAATGCCATCCAGCGGCGCGCGATGGAACTAAATGTTACTTAATCTTCAGTAAGCGCGAAAAGCTCGCAGTATTACAATATCTGCCCTACAATAGCGCAACGCCTTTAAAGTTCGGCGATGCCGCAGCTCGTATGCGTTGATGGATGTGCAAGGGCTGTCACATGAAAAAAATTGTGATGTAATAAATTATTAACCATTATTATTATTTCTCAATACCCATTATTGAAATTGTATATATGTATATTCTCATGATGACGTACGCAAGTTCGTGCGTACACTACTATTTCTTAAGGTATAATTAATAATAAATAATTAACCAACCAATTATTATTACTATACGTTTTTTTTTAAAAGAAATACTTAAATATAATTTGTATAATGTACTTGGTTTTCACGACCTATGATGGAGTTAAAATAAACATTTCGGCTTCTTTTGATTTCTACGACATGGGAAGTAGAAGTTACTTCTATGCATAGATGTTATATAGGTACGTATTACAAAATTATAGGAAAACTCGCGTTATGGGTAAATGTATTAAATTTTAAATCCCTGTTGTATTTCGTTATCGAATTACGACCGCACACAGAATAGTTGTGCATCATTATTATATGCATTCAACGATTTTTGTAGAACTCTTAATTTATTCAAAAATATTTTAAACTATACACGCGTCAACCCTTAGCACTCGATACGCAAACTCAGTGCGTCCGCTCGCAGTGACTCGCGCCGCCCGACCCCCCTCGGGTACCCCTTCGTTGTTCTACGCAAATACATTCGCTGCGCAACTGTATAGTTTGTAAACTATGGTATAGGCGTTATAATTATTTTGTTTATAATTTAATCATACCGGGAATTAAATACTATTCATTCTATGTCTGTTATTTGACTTAAAGGTTAAGTTTATTCTGCCTGTTCCGCGACGACTAACAAGGGCTTACTTATTTTTTTCTTGAGTGCTTATTTATTTTTACTGAATTATCTCTGTGTTTGTTCGATCTTTATATTAACAATCATAACAAAAAAGTGCTTTTTATTTTTGTTAACTTTGGGTTTTTCTATTCAGCCTCAAAGAAAAAGTTTTTCATTTTCTGTATTTCTTTTCAGGTATGTCTACTGGCAGTCGGACTGCATTTATAAATTGCAATAAAAATATCCCAAAATAGATAGTTAAATAAATAGTAAATTGTCTATTCAGAGTCCATATAACCTCAAATGGCTTTGGTTGATTCCGAACAACAGTAAAATATTTGAATTAATCACGTTGATAAAAATATACAGTGTACAATTGAAGATATACACTGATGCTATACACTTTTTTCTCTATAGAAGAAAAAAACACAAACTTCCGTCGAAATTTTTACAAGAAAACAGCTGTATTCAATTTTTTTTTATCAACTGAATTAAATACAACACGTATAGTATACGATATACATTTTTGAAACGGCTTTAATTTCTAAATTTTTATTGAATTGATATTCAATTATTTTTGTGTGAAATTACTCCACTGAAAAAAATTCCTTCAACCCGGCCGGATTCGAACCGACGTCTTCTATATAGTCTTCTATATTCTAGTATAGCTTACCGTGCCAGACGCCATATACCAACTAAGCCACGGAACGAACCAGCGGACACCACGAATTTTTCTATGTGCTTGCTATATCACTTCAATTCAATAAAAATTTAAAATACAGCGAAAAGCGACATCTCTCGCCAGGACTGGTAGCTGTTAAGGTACTAACTGGGTGATAAATCTTTCATAGATTTCTCATATATGGCGCTACGACTGAAAAGTTGTTGAAAAAACCAAAATACAAAGGCTTTAATTTCATTTGTAATAAATAAATTCTGAAAAGCCAGTGTCCTATCGCTCGACCCAAGCAAAATGATAATACGGTACATCAAGAATTGGAATTCTAGGTGGTAAATAACAAATTATTAACGAGAGTCTATTAGAAATACGAAGCTGAAGGCACGGGGCTTTAATGACCAGAAGTTTGTAACGTTTTACCGCTCATGCTATACATACAATGTTTTAAAGTACTTTTCCTCCGTGTTCCATAGTCGTGAGGCGCCCTGTATAATTTTCACTATTTTGTTAATTTATAACTTTAAGGAATGCCAAAGTGAGTATGTATTTTGAGGTGGAGCACTTGGCGCCGGTAGTGCTGGACTTGTGGGCGGAAGTGGTGGGTGCGCCGTTGCAGTTAGCGCTGCGTCCTGGCGCGGGCGGAGTCGTCGGCTGCACTTCCGCTTCTGACGACACCGCGGATGACGAAGCGCCACCAGTTCTCTGGTTACCTTTATCTTCCTCTTCCATTATCTTTCCGTAGCAGTAGAGGTCTTTGTGAAAGAGGTCGTCAAGGGATGTACTGTTATTGTACTATTTCTGCCGCCAAGCAGTAATCTGAGCATTACTATGTTTCGGTTTTGAAGGGTAAGGGTGCTGGTGAAATTATAAACACATGGGACTTGTGGACATGACAGTGTCTCTCAGATCTTTGCGATTTAAAGCTCTGAGTGGCACTGCACTTGGTATCTTAAAAGAAATCTAATCAGATCCTAATTTTGGTATGAAATGAGGACTGTAGAAAGAAGCAGTCTCCGGACTATTCTTGGTGATACCCTCAATCCGTTACCAAATTGAACAGGTTATGTAGAACCAATTAACTTTATCTCTGTCTCTGTGTAGTATGTGTTGGGTGTGATCCGAGTGCTGTTATATGTGTATACAGCCAGTTGGCTACAAGCAAAAGTGGTAAAGAATAGATCGACACTGTCCATAAAAATCTGTACAATAAGTGCCATCTAGTTTCATCAAGCACAATTTTGTTTTATGTAACTCACTCAGAAAACCAATATCCACGAACATAGAGTGAACTTGAAAACTGAGTAGGTATATGTCATGTTGCATTTCTAAATTAATTATGTTATGCACTTATTTAACTCGCGTCTATAGCTTTTACATTTTTTTTTACTTCTATATATTTAATTTTTTGAATCGGCGACTTCAAAAAGGGTCCACTGAAAACCAGCGCTGTGGCTCCGCCGCCGCAGTATTTGTTGAGCTGGGCCCTTTACAGTGCTGTACACTTTTAGCAATAAAAAATAACTTATTGTGCTGAAATATTTTCTTTCTTTCTTTCTAGTTGATTTGTATGTTATCACTAGAAATAGGAGTAGCTTTGATAAATTGCAGCTTGTCAAAATGTGAAACAATTTAGTTACAATAATAGCTATTTGGTACTCGTCGCGCCATCTGGTGTACCTATAAGTATCAAATAGCCACGTTGTCTTGTATTGTGGCTCTCTTGGGTTATTTGTCTATGATTTTATCCTATAGACATTCCTTGTCCGTGGTTAGAAGAACATTCACTGCTCGAAGAACTTCTTCATAAAAAAAACATCATCATTAGCATCAAGCGCATGTCCGCAGGCTGTCGTCATCAGATCCCGAGCGCACGCTGCGCGCCAAGAATACTTCTCGCGTTGCACTCTTCGTGCGCGCATATCTTACCCAGGAATACGGTCAGTACACTAAAGCGATTACGTCACCAACACTAGTTTACAATACATACATATATTTCGCGCTCTTTTCCCATTGGGTAGGCAGAAACAACAGTGGAAGCAATTGCTACGATCCTGACACACCTTTCGCCTCATCAACACGCAGCAGTGATTTCATACGTGTTTAAGGATAACCTTTAGAACATACTAAATTTGATCATGGTAAATTCGCCGTGGTCGACCCTTACCAACGAATGTCTTGAGTGCCCTTGAAAGCACTCAAAGATACTCAAACACACATACACACACACAAACACACACACACACACACACACACACACACACACACACACACACACA